TTATTGAAAATCAGGTGCCCTGATCAGTTAGAGTGGCTAGCGATATCGGTTGCATATCATTGGCCGCGCGGTAGAATGATATGCAACCGATATCGCTAGCCACTCTACCGTAACTTAAAATCCGTCGAGTTAAATGTCCTTTGGAGAGGTTAAAGGTATAGGAAGAAGAGGTATAAAACTTCTGGTTTTTCTTCCCTAGGATATTCTCCATCAAACCTGAGGTAGAGATGGGTAGAGAAGTATTGTTACCTGCAATGTGTCCATACTTTCGGTCAACGACAGAGACTTTCTTCCTTTTGGCTATGACGAATTTTGGTCATGTCGTGGGACTGCCGCGTGGTCCAGACAATGTTCCAATCAGAAGGATAAGTAGCAGCAATAATAACTGAGAGTGCAGAATATTTTCTCAGAAAAGCGTTTAGTTTCGTATCATACTATACCAATCTTGTTAGCTAATAAGTGGCATATGTACTATGTAGTTTATATTAAGTTACCCATTTCAGTCAAATTTCAAATAATACAATTAATAGTATCTTTGAACAAGAAGAGGTATTTCTCCCCTCCCCCTTAGCGGATGACTCTTTTTTTTTTTTTTTTTTTAAATATTGGTAATACATTTACGCTTTTATTGAGGAATTTTTGCAAATACGGCCCCTGCCGTGAATTCCATTCCACGATTGTCAACTAAGGTCTTAGTTCCAGCTCATTTTTCACAGTTTTATACTAGTGTTGGTAGATGATGGAAAATTGCTCTCCTCCGAGCAATTCTGAAGCAGCCAATCGGAAGCGGGGATTTCCCGACCAACCTCACCGCTCTTCTTTTTACCGCCTATATCTATACATTTTGTTGTTTTCGATAAGGCTCATTATAAAACCTTCTTTGCTCTCCCCCTTTTTACTTTAATACTCTCTCTCTTTCTAGCTTCGCCACTTGTCAGCTGAGACTAATAGCGGCCTGGTTTCGAAGGGTTGCCGAAGGTTTCCAGTCTTTATGTCGCCAAAAGAGTTTGCCAAAAATCTGTATCATTTTCGAAATAAGGAAACTTTATTTTGTCATCGCGAGAAAAGTGCTTCAGGTGCATGGAACAATTCTAGGATTTGAAATAAAATTCTAAAAATTTACATTTTGGTTTTACAATGGGACGGATGACCAAACCGCGTTATAAAGTTGGCTGAATTTAAAAGTAAATAGTTCCACAATGTATAAATAAAGTATTATAGAATTTTGATTATCTGAGAAATAGTACTGAATAGTGGTTAGGTAACTCAAAGTACTGAATAACATGGAATTAGCGAATGTTGTTTACAGCCAGTAAAAAAAAAAAAATATTTATTTTAAAACAACGTTATAAATGACAAATATCACCAATTCATACTGAAAGCTGTTTGTATTTTTTTTTATTTTTATTTTGATGCCTATGATAATAAAATTGTTCAAGAAATAAAATGAGGCTCATACATAAATGCATCACACATAAATTATGCAAAAAGCAATATACTCTACTGGGATGGATGTTAATGGGAACGCCGTACGTTTAGCAGGTATATAATTTGTTTCTTTTGTTATCGATCGCACTAATACTGAGAATCAAACCCGAGATCGTTAAATTGTGTAATGGGTGTACTGAAAGATACAACACAAGGACATGGAAGAATACTTTTATTCTTAAGGTTTAGTTAAAAAAGGAATTACGCAGGGGCGAGAAGACATGACGTTGTCGGACAAAACAAAATGACGAGGAGTTAATCATTCAAAATATTTTAGTTGGGGGTTTTATGGCTAAATTATAAGGTACTTCTCCCGCCTTCTTAGCATGCATTCGTAGTGTAGTGGTCAGCACGCTCGGCGCATATTCGAGAGGTCCGTGGTTCGACTCTCGGCGAGGGCGTTGCTCATTTTTCATGTCTCCTGCTTCGAAATAACCTAGTGTCTCTACAAAGTTATTAGGTTTTTTTAAAACTTTATTTTAATTTTTAATTTTCTGAATAGAAATTTTGAGAAGTTCCTGACATGGGCATGATTGAAATGTGAATAATACCCCTACCGGGGTCAAACCAGGACCTAACATTTCTAGTTGTATGTAATTAAAGTACTTTGGAGGAATATATCCTCAGTATATGCCAGAGAAGAGTTAAGAAAAGAATTTCTTTAACTCTTCATGAACTAAAACTATGAGAACAAGTTAACATATTTAACAAGTTTATTTTCTAGCATTGTTATCGAAAATACTAATAATAATTTCTAATACATTATGTTTTCGCACATAATTGGATAAAATAAAGTATAAGATAACTGAAGTCAGATAAATTAAATTACATTCACAGACTTAATAGGAAATTTTATTCAATAAACTATGCAAAAAAGAAGGCATAAACATAACTAGAAATTGGTGGAATCCTCGTGGCTGCATAAAGCAAAATTACGCTATGCATGCACCTTTTAAAAAGTTTATTTTTCCTGTTCTGTCCTTCATTTGATTGCATATTTTGAGTCCCAAATTACTGCTTCGAGGCAATCACAGCTCCTGACGCCTATTAATTTGAAGATGAGAGAGCTCTAATTATCCAGGCTTCAATTATTCTCAACTTCAGTTATTCAGATCTCTTCCTCTTCCTTTGAGGCCATTTAAAATTTAGTTTGCTATACACTTATTTACATGTATTAATTTTTTTATTGATTTAAATAACACAAAATGATTAAAATGTTGATTATGTACATTTAAAAAGTTTAAATAAATATGTATGGTACACCTATAAGTACACTAAGCATATTACACCCATTCTTCTCTTTTAGTTAAATAACATACGCCTGCATGTTATTTATCAAATATATAGCTCTTAAAATTAGTAGATAAATAATTTATTGTAAATAAGTAATAAAGGCAAAAATTTTGTAATAACTTGCAGAATAAGTCAATAATAAATATTGTAATAATTTACAATAATTTTCAGACTAAACAAAGTAATGCTTCCTTTATTCTATAAATTATTATTTAACTACAAATGCTTCTAAAAGCACATGCGCATCGTGCAAATATTATATCCTTTTTTCTCTTCACGTGAGAACTTTTTGTCTTTTAATAAATGACGTCAGTCCAGTCAATTAATTTTTGCTAGCTTTTATATGTCACGAAAATTTTAATTGCATGTTTGATTTTTTATTCAATGTATGTCTACCAGAAACGATCCGTTGGTTATACGATGAAGACTGAAAACGATGAGACTCGAAGTATACTTACGGTTGAGTAAAGAATTGGGAGTAGATATGGAGATACAATGCTTAAAAACGAAATCTTGTTACATAATGTTACCAAACATTTCACTTGCTTAAAACTCACAGGCAGAAAATTAGTGAGTTATTTAAATAAATAATACAAAATAAATTTCAAACTTTACAAATCTGTACAAAGACTTTTAGAATCTGGAGAAATAAATAAATAAAAAAAGAAATAAAAGGAAATAAAAAATTCTGAAAGCTTTCAGATTTTAATTACGTCCAAAGGGGCGTTTTTTTAACATTTTGTGTGTTACTTTTATTTATTAAATATCATGTTCTTCGCACTTAAAACATTTAATTCAGTTCAGCAGCAATATCGCAAAATAATTTTAAAATGAGCATATCTTTAGAATTTCCGATAGAGTCTCGCGCGGTGGAGATAATTTTTTCCCGTACAGTGTTGCCATTGTTCGCTTTGAAATCGTTGAGTTTGTTAATCAAAAATTTGTTGAAGTGTTACAAAATATGAAATAGATAATAAAACAAATTGCAAATTTTAAATTTGGGCTTCCACATGCCCATATTCTATGGAAGATTTCGTTATTCAAATTTTGATGGCTCTAGGTATTGTTGTTTTATAACAATGCGAGAAACATACATACATTCATGCAGATTCTTCATTATTTCTTTAAATATAATACAGGCGATAATATTTGGTGGCAACAATTCGAAAAATGAAACAACGCTTGTCGTGAATCGATGCAAAATGCCAAAACGAAATTAATAGACATTCTGGGCAAATCGCCCCTTTGGAATAATAATACTGTAATTAGAAAATTTCTGCTTCAGAGAGTTAATAAATTTATTTAAAAGTTAAAAAAATATATAAAAAAACTTAAAAAGTTGTTTTTGTTACTGTGACTAATCTCGTTTGTCTGATATCAGAGTAAGCGCACGAAATTCATCTTGCCAAGGAAGCAGCCTGCCGCTGGTCAGAGCCTTGGGCACCATACAGGTAAAAGTAAGATTTTGCTTAGTTCCATTCTGTTTTGAACTAGAGCACCCCGGGAAGGGGGACAGCTCCGAGGATATCCTACCACTCTTCCCCCACCAAGGGCCTCTCGGTAGGACTTTCGGCTCATCGCATATTTTGTTTGCCCTCACGCCACACATATATTATACATTTACAGTTATTCATGCCTTCTCCGGGATTCGAAACCGGGTCCTTCCGTGGGACAGTCAGAGTCACCTAACCGCTAACCCATCGGACGGCACTTAAAAAGTGAAATCGCAATCTGATTTTGGTGCACAGATATCAGTTTAACTTCTGAAATAGTTTTAAGATAAGCAGTTACGATATGTCAACCAGTTTAACAATTATTCCCCTCCAAGAAATTAAATGTATAGACCATAAAATCTTGCATTTGAAATGAGTTGTGTGAAGCCCCAGAGCCAAATAACAAGAAAAACATGCGTTTTATAATTTCATATGAAATTAACTCCACGTGGAGACTTGGAACCTTACTGAATGAAATAAATATTTAATTATTCAGAACGTAACAATGCATTAATTTTACTGAACGACTTGACCACGAGATTTGCAGTAAATAATTTCAACACTTTCTAGCTTGTCAAGATGCGAAATTCTCGAGCTATAAATTCCTCAAAGAACTGGAAAAGATAATAAAGACTTCAAAGAGGTTTCTTAACAAGTTCATACCTATATGCAAATTTCGAAAGATACTATATTTACTTTAAATTTATTATTGAAGTACTTGTGCATGATGAGGTGGGCGAGTGGTTAAGGCAATGGCCTCCTAATTCGTTGGGCTCTGCCCGTGTGGGTTCGAATCCCATCCTCGTCGATCCCTAAATTTCTAAGATTTTAGTCTTACTTTAACATTTAATTAAATTTAAATTAAAGGAATTTTTCGTTATTCTGTCAAATATTTCGGTGTACAGGAAAATTGATCCATTTTTGTCTTTCAAAGTATGCAGTAGATTCTCAATTATATGATATGACAGCTTCGGATAATCGATTTTCCTATTTCAACAAATAATTGTTTCAGATAAATCCTTTGTTCTTACACATTTTATTATTTAATTTAACAAAGCATAAATTTGATTACAAGTATTGAATAGTATATTTTGACTTAAATTACATTTTCCAAGCAAAAGAATAGGAAAAAGAATTTAATAGCCATAACAAAAGCCAATAATTATTGATTTTATATAATTTTACTTTCTTAAACAATCCATAATTAATTTTTATTGAAGTAAAAATCTTTTTTTTATTCTGGCTGATTAATTTGGATTTTTTTATTTGTTCCTTTAGGCCTTAGCCCATAGCATACAAGAAAAATGTCTGTTTCTTGTATGCTATCCGAGGAAAAAACAGAGGGGAAAAATGCAGTTAGGTACAGGTATAGCAATTGTATATCTGTATATAATGTATACTATATATATATATATACAGATTTTCGGATGTAATGGGTTTAAACAAGTTTTAACGAGTTTAAATAACCGACGCTTCAGATAATCGAGGTAGTATTGCATTCATTATTTTGTGAGTTAATGCTGTGTCTGATATTGATTTATTTAATAAGTGAAGGGTAGTTTATTAGTGTCCAGCTTTTCCATGTGAAAAACCATTAATTAATTAGTGCAAAAGGAAGGCCTTCTTCCTTCCATTATTTAAAACTTGACGCGTGAAGCACAAATTTAAAGTGTTTATATTTTGAGACTTTTTACTGAACTGTTTTCGGATGTTTTTTCGTCTTCGAAACAATCTTTGTCACAGAGAATATTATAAAAATTTTAATAATTTTATAGTCTTTTTTTAAACAAACGCTTGAATTAGCTCAAAATTAATTTCATACGTCATTTCAGGCCAGCGAGATATACAGTATATCGCACACCATTCACTCACCCTATAAAATATTTAATACTATATACTGGAGATTAAAAAAGGGTGTTTGTGGTTTTATTCATGGACAACGCCGTAGACGTTAGGGGAAGTCAGTATTGAACCCTGATTGTTCCTGAAATCACAGTTTACGAGATCGTGGATAACGGCTGCTCGAGTACTGCAAACAGACTATTCTCGCTCTGTGTCAGAACAGGAAGTTTGTGGGTGATGTGTTGGAGAAGAATCGACAGCACCCGTAAAGTGTCCGCAGACCTGGAAATGGTAACAGGTTTTCCTTTACACACTCAGTAGTTCATACAAGACGGACCCACCAACAAACTGCAAGTGTTAGTTTCGATTTCCTGTATGCGATAGTTAATGCGACTGTAATGTTATATCTGTCTCCTGTGAACGTTACAAAGGACAATGGCCTCCGCACTGCTCGTATGCAGTAATGTTATATCTGTCTCCTGAACGTTACAAAGGACAATGGCCTCCGCACTGCTCGTATATTAAGCCAAATGATTTCTTTTTAAAGTCTTTCTTTTTAATTAAGCCAAAGGATTTTTAAAAGCTAAGGTATTCGCAAGGAAGCCTGCAAGTGTAGCAGAACTTAAGTTTCTTATTGTGCATGGTGCCGTGTAATTGTAGAAGAAGTATACCGGAGAGTCGTAAGAAGTGCTTGCAATGATTCGCTTGCAAGAAGATGTGAAACAAAATGCTCGACACATTGAACACATTCTGCTCTAAACTCTCTTTCCTTGCCCGTACAGTTAACTATGCATTTCTTTCACAATATGTCGATGATAAATTTTAATAATTGTATAGTCGTTTTTAAATAAGAGATGGAATTATCTCAAAATTAATTTCATACGTCATTTCAGGCCAGCGAGATATACACGCCCACGAAATTCATCTTGCCAGTTCCTTATAATAATTATATTGCAGTTTATATAATAATATTCATAAAAATATCAGAAGAGTTATAATACTTAGTATAATTAACTTAGTTGAATATAAAAGTGTACAGATATATTTAATTTAACTACACAGAGGCTCGTATTTGTCTTTCTGGCTCAGGTGAAAAAATATCTGGGCACTTCTCTGCATTCCATCACAAAATCGTTTTATTTCAATCCCTTCTACCTGCCTTTACATTTTTGGGAGCACTTTGTATAACACAAACAATAAAGACGTCAGCGAGTCTTGAAAATGATGTCTTCCTTCTGCTTGAAAGACTTTCATAGTGCATCTCAGCGTGTTCTGTGAGACAGCACGTACTTCAGAGCTGATGACACTACAATTCGTCAATCATTCGAATGATCGAATGATCGAGAAAGCGATGTATTAAGACTTTTTCCTTCAGGTAACCGCAGAAGAAGGAAGTCGGAGTTTTCAAATCCGAAGGCAAGTGAAATCTCCAAAGCGGTGAACCATATTATTTGAGAATGTCTGTCAGAGTACATATTTGTGTTTGTCCTTGAGCCGTCTTGTTGGGACAAGATTGTATCCATTTATTGTCTTACCCACATTTTGGGATAACCTTCATTGTCCCGTTGCAATACTATCTGAGCACTGTTTTAGAAGTAGATTTACTGTTTCTCTAATGGTTAATGGCTTATGTTGTAAAAATTGTCTGACTTCTAGCTCTCCATGAATGCAGGTATGACACATGTGTGCACGTGGTTAGTGTTACCAATTCTGGTAGTGTTACCGATTCATTCTGATAGCTTCAATATGCGCCATCCTGTATTTAGAAGCTTCATTTAAGAATCTTTTAATTCTTAAATGTGTCCTTATTCTGGATATTCAAGCGTGTCCTTATTCTGGATGACAAAGATTATTACATTCTACTCTTAATGTTTAATTTCAATTAAAAATGGTAATTTATTTGTGCATAGTTGGATATTTGCCCTCGTAAATTTGCACACGATAAAAATGAATTTTCAAGACTCTAACAAAACTGTATGTATTTTTTTTTTATATTTTTCTCAAATTTAATGCAAACATAATCTTTAGTAAGATGGTATTGAAACTAGAGTTAAAAAATTCTAATTTTATTCAGCATTTAGACATTTAACGTAGGAAAAAATAAATGATTACCATTTATTGCATCTTTAATTAATGTTGTAAGTATTTAATGTATTTTTTTTAGTGTTTTCTCGGTATTATTAAACATAGCACATTCATTCAGCAATTTCATGATTTAGAGCTCGAGGGCACCTTAGGGAAGAGCATATTTTACGTAGATAAAACCGCAAAAGAAATCCTTTAAATCACTGCTCGGCAACCTTTTCTCACCTGCAACGCACGAAAAATCTTTCTGGAATTTCGTGGCACACCAAAGAGTTCCGAGTTATCAAGGAAGTGCCGAAAAAATTCAAATGCTGACACACTTACAATCACACACACAACCACACAACAGTGAAATATATAAAACCTTTAAAATAGACATTATTAAGGGAAAAAATTGTCATTGCGTATTAAATACATGATAAAAAATTGCAAAATGTCAAATACATGTATTTGATTGCGGCACACCTATATCCTACTCATGGCACACCAGTGTGCCGCGGAGCACCGGTTGCGGAGCACTGCTTTAAATGTTACGTAATTCTCAAACATGAAGTGCTTCAATCAGATCTCAAATACGTCACATTTTTAATCCTTTCGCTTAAGCAGCGTCATCATAGCAATCATGTAAAATGTTTTAATAATTTTCATCAAGATATAGATTTATAAGAACTCAGTTTATAAATTACGTTAATTTTTTACATCAAACTATGTCACTAATAAAATCGAGGTAAGCGCTTTAGAAAAAGTAGCCAAAAAAGTGAGAAAATCGCCAAACACATTACCCTTTCCCATCCTCTCCTTTTCACTGAACGTATTTTTATACGCTGGAGATTATTTTACGAAACTGAAGAAGAAATTGAAAATGGCAGCGCCGAAAGTTACATTTTGCAGCCCAAAACTTATTCTTCCGTTTTCATTATTAAAAGTTATGACCAGATTCTCTTTTCAAAAGGTGTTTAGGTATTTTTTACTTTTATCTATTTATTTTCCTGCCCTCCTCCTGGTTTCAAGAAAGCAGAAACACTCCTTACTTGGTACTTGAAACTGACGTTTTTACAAATTGCAAATGTATTGCTGCATTTATTTAAAGACAGGAAATAAACATTTGTTCCAATTACACGATGAAACGAAGTACCGTTTTTACATTAGGAACCCTTGAATAAATATTTCAAGAAATCTTCCTTTTCGGCTAGAATAAATTACGGACAATTTGCTCTAACGTTTCATGCAAGGCAATATTTGATGACTTTTTTGATGAGACTATAAAACGCAAAATGCTGTTTTTATTGTGAATATAATAGCCATAAATGGAATATATGTACCAAATAATGGCTGGTGGGGGTTGTTTATTTATTTTTATGTCGTTTGGCTTTCTCTCGGGTTTTAATTTTAGGTTTATTTTTTATCCTTTAATTGCGTTGGATTTTAATAAAACCTGATTATTTGTGATAAGGTTTTTCGCCAGAGCTTTTATATATATTTATACTTTTTGCAATTTATTTTTAATTTGGAAAATGGGATTGTTTTATGTTTTCATTTTTAATTTTTAGTGGGTGGGAAATATGTTAACTGAATTTAAAAGACATTTATAATTTTGTTAATTACAAGTTAAAAGATTTTTGCTATGTTCAACTCGAGCAACAGGAATTTATTTTGTAGAGTAGAAGAAATGAATTGTGTTGTTTTAAAAATTTATTTCATGATTGGCCCACAAAATTCCCTTTGTGCCATTTCTTATTTCTCGGAAAAATAAATGTGCTCATTAGTTTTAATTATTCTTTTGTATCCTTTTATCTTTCATTGTGTTATCATTCCTTTTATCATCAGATTAAAATTTCAAAATAAAATTTAATTAGAAATTAGTTTTAAAATTTGTTAAAA